CTTTCTTTCTTTCTTTCTTTCTTTCTTTCTTTCTTTCTTTCTCTTCCTTCCTTCCTTCCTTCCTTCCTTCCTTCCTTCCTTCCTTCCTTCCTTCTTTTGTATTTTAGGGAAGGGTCTACAGGGTGTTCAGGGTCTCACTATTAGATTGGACTCATAGTGATCTACCTGTTTACAGCCTCCCAAAAGCTAGGATTACAGGCACGTACCACCATACCCAGTCTCAATTGCTGTTTCAGTGCACCCCAGGGGCGGGTCCAGAACCGCAGGCCTGGGGATTGAACCCCCGGCCCCTGCGCCTGCTTGCAGGCACTCTTAATTCACTGAGCTATTTGGCCAGCCTTCTTTTTTTCTTTTCTTTTCTTTTCTTTTTTTTTTTTCTTTTTCTTTTCTTTTCTTTTCTTTTTTTTTTTCTATTTTTGAGGCAGAGTCTTCCTATGTAGTCCAGGCTGGCCTGTAACTATATAGCCCAGGCTGGCCTTTAACTTGCAGCAATCCCCTGCCTCAGCCTCCCAGATGCTGTGATTATAGGTGTGTGCTACCACACCTGCTTCCTGGGGGAAGTTTCACGGCTATGTCTGTCACATATACATGGCACTGTGTATCTAAAGAAGTCAAGCCATGTGATTGTAAATTTGATGTCAATAAGTTCAACAATAAAAAACACAATAAAGTGAAGCCAAGAGAAAATATTGATTCAGCATAAATTCAAATACCGGCTAGGAAGCTCTTGTGGGTTTCGCGTGCTGGTACCAGCCTTGGTCTTGTGCTTGCTGATGGCAGCTGACGGCACCACCAGCATTTGGGGGTAGCTGTCATAAGAAGCAGTTTTGGACATAACACAGCACCAGTGCATCATATTCCAGTCTCTTCCGAGGCCTCACTGTCCATTTCTTAAAAAAGGAATGGTGTGGAGGCTGGCACTTGAGACTCCGTGGGGCAGGATCATGGGAGATGGGCACTGTTCCTAGGGAAACTGGTCTCCATGGAAACACCTCAGACCATATTTATCCTGCTGCTAGGGACCAGGTGGAGTAGGTCACTGACTGATGGGCACTGGATGCCCACAGGAGGCTCTGGAAGGCACCTCACTACCACGGGCAGTGGGAGTTCCTGCCTGGTATATTCAACCACCTCTGTCCTAGGGACCCTTTGCCCTAATCTCAGCACCTGGATTTTACTCAGCTTCTCTCCAGTGGAGGCTACTGTTGTCATGATGACCTTTTATTCTGATTGGTGGAAAACATTCCATCCCAGGGCATGGCTTCAATTCCCAGGTCTGAGGTTCTCCTGTGCATGCATCAAAGTCAGGCTTCCCATTAATACCATGTGTTGTTTGAGACAGGGATTTTGCATAAATTTCTCTCAGGTGACATTTGTGTGCTAACTTACTGAGATGGCCCTGGCTGGGATGGACAACAGTGTGGAGCTGCTATCTCCTTGTAGAGTAAACTATCAGGTGGCGACACCTGCTGGCCAAGTATTGGGGAGAAAACTCTTCTGTCCAATGACATCCCCACCTTTCAAGTTGGTTCCCAGGTCTGGGGGCTGAGGATGCCGAGCTGAGCTACTCCGAGACTGGGACCTCATCTTACCTTGGGGTAGGTGGGGACATCACGCCGAGGGGTCAATTTCTTGTTGTTATCCGGAAAGCTGTACTTACAGGGACAGCTGGTCCTAAGGATAAGAAGCAGAGATCAGCTGCCACACTGCTCCGAGCCATGGTGGCCACCTGTACAGGAGACCTGGGATGTCACCAGTGCAGAGGCAAGCTGAGTACCCAAATCCAACCACAGAGCCCACAGGCCCCACTTGGGCTTCTGTGCCATGAGGCCTAAGTCTGGAGAGTAGTGGCAGGCATGTTGTTGCTGCAGACATGTCATTGCTGCACCCAAGGACCCTGCTCGAGCCTGACCGTGAGATCAGCTTTTGGAAGACAGAAAATAAGGCCACTTTGTTTTTTCACATCATGTCACAAACTCATCCATCTGGTGCTGCTCCTCCAAGCCTGGCCTCATCTGGTGATGAACAAAAAGCATGTGAGGCCCTCCACATGGGGTTGTAGCTCACGTCCTCACTCGGTCCCCAGGCTGGACATGTCCAATTTGCCCATCATGTACAAAGTGGAGGGATGAATTTCTGCTTTCCTCCTCCTTTAACCTCAAGCATCCCATGTAAGAACAAAGGGAAATGAGCTCTGGCGCTTGCGGCACCGGCTGTAGGCTGCCCCCAGGGGCTGTGCATGGGGAGCAGCCCACAAGGCCTGGTGCCCTTAGCTGGGAGCTGCACACATTCAGGAAACATGGGTGGGGAAGAACCTGCCCAGAAGTGGGCACACTCTCCCGTCAGCTGGAGCAGCCTTGCTGTTAGGGATTACCTCCGTGGGATGTGGGGACCGGCGTATGGGTGAGCTTCTGGGATCTGTAAGTAAAATTGTGTCTTCTGGGCAAGCCATTTAACATGGTTGAGTAAAGTAACTGAGAAATTCATATCCTTTATGCCTGCATGTCTACTCTTGGGAATTTATCTTAAAAGAATTTGACACAAGCAAATAAATAGCTCTATGTACAAAGATACTCAACTAGCACTATTTGTTGTTACACCAACATGAAACCAAACTCAGAGCCACCTGAAAGTTCCTGAATGGGAAATAAATTAAATCACTTTGGTGCATCAAAACGATGGACCATGATACCATTATGAAGGTCATTCTGGGTATTACATGAAGTAGGGGAATTTCAGATGAAAAGGGAAATTAAAAAGACGATACACACATTGTATTAATGGGCGATGCAAACACATTTACTGTGCTGCTTTTTCCTCAGAGAAAAGAAGCACAGGGAGTTAAAAAAAAACCACTGAATTGTAATCTTTTGGGGAAAAAAATCTAAGAACTATCCACTGGTTAAACTTTATTGTTATCTCAGCTGGATGTGATGGCATAGAGGCTGAGACAATAAGCTAGCTACAAGTTTGAGGTCAGCCTGGGCTACATACTGAGTTCAAGGCCAGCCTGACCCATACAGCAAGATTGTCTAAAAAAATTATTTACTTATTGTTCATAATGCTGTAAATGAAAAAAGTTTGTAAGACAGTATATTCTTATTGCTTTCCAATAGTAGATATCTATGCATACAAAATCCCATGGGGAGTTTTGTGTGCAGATTTGAACCGGGGGCATTGTTGGCTATTATTATGGCAGCCACCCCCAAAACCTCCATCAGGATAGTCTGCGAGTTCTACCATGGGCCCATTCCACTTTCTTTCCATTTGCCTCATGAGGTTGAGGCTGGCCTTGAACTTGCCAGCAAGCTTCCTGCCTCAGCCTGTCAGGACAGGACTGCCACAACAGGTTTTTGGTTTTTTTTTTTTTCAGAACCAAGGATTGAACTCAGGCCTTTGTGCCTGCCAGGCAAGCTCTTATTCTACTGAGCCATCTCCCTAGCCCATCAGTTTGATGTGCAAAGGAAACTGGGCAGCTCAATTTTGTCTGCTTTAACCCTTGCATGGAAGCACAGGAAGCCCTTGCTAGGCAGGCGCTGGGCTGCTGGATCCCAGCTGGGGCTGAAATATGCGGCTCTGGGAAGAGGCGACTGCTGGGTGCTGCTGACCTGCTCGGCCTGCAGCCCCTTCTGTCTGTGGCCTGTAAACACAGAGAACACTCTCAGCTAGGAGCAGCTGGCACAACACCCTTTTTTATGCCATCTTGAGCTGCTCGTTTTTGCCTTCATTCCCTGGGCTTTCCATCTTCTTCTACTTTGGGGCACCATCCATGGTCAAGGCCACTTATTTGGGATGAAAGAAGGTCACAAGCCCCAGAGCTCTGTCACCAGACTAGTCCTGCAGCCCTCTCCTGCCCCCAAGGAACTGGCATGTGCTGGTCTGTGTGTCCCAGCAGGGGGTGCTGCCCCAGGGTGCTGGTGGGCTGCACAGCTCCCCTGTTTTCCTCTGTGAGCCCTAGCAGATGCAGACCCTGACTCCGATTGCTCCTTCCCTCCTTCTTGGCTTCACCCTGGTGCACTCTCTCTGAACTTCTAGCCATCCTCCTGTACTGGCCTCCCAAGTGCTAGGCTCATGGGCAGGCACCATCACACTGAGCTGCCTCTGTCCTCTTCCTTCAGGTCTGTCTCTGTAGACATCCACACCTTGTCTGCCAAGCTGTCCACACAGCAAGGACACACGGACCTGTAGGAGGGTTGCCCCTCTCTTGTGCACCATTTGCATCTCTGCCAGAAGGCCCTGTATGATAAGAAAGCCCAGAGCATGAGGGGCAGATTCCCCCACCCCACAGGTTGGGCTGCCTGCAACCCCAGAATCAGTCACTCCACCTTCCTAATGGGGACAAAAACAGCTGGGGTCCCTGCCCACATCAGTACTTACCTGTTACTTCTGGCCGCCAGCTCCTCCCTCATTTTTTTAATGTCACTCTTGCATTTCTCGATCTCCACAACTTTCAGCCCTTCCACTGGGGACAAAGAGACGGGACAGGGAGTTACGAAGGATCAGCACAGCTCAGGCAGCCACTGGGGTGTCACCAGGTCACTGGTCAAAATGGAGCTTCCTGCTCCTGTCCAGAACTGACACGTTCAGGGCACACAGCTCCAGGTGAGGCTGCAGCAAGTTTGAGCCACATCTGTCCCCAAGGCTCCTGTGGGATGGAAGCCTCGCCCACCCCTCCCAAGTCCCTCCTATACCCCCATCTTGCTGCACACTGCAGCTGAGGAGGGCAGGAGTCAAATGAGTCTTGTACCCTAAAGGAAAAGAAGTGACAAGTTTTCCTGGCAAGGATTAAAACCTCATTAAGATAAAAGCTTTTCTTTTTTTCATGTCTCCCCAGAGCAGTTACTCAGGGGGAAGTGTCCACTGAAGACAGATGAGAAGTAAACTGGCAAAATTAAGGATCAATGGAGCTGGCTCGATGAACATCCCAGAGGTCTGGCTGCAGAAGTGCCCAGCCTGGGCAGAAGGCCACAAGTGACCAGTGGGGTGGGTATTGCCAAGAGAGCCACACTCAGGCACATGCGCGAGGTGCTTTTCACATCGCCCAGGAAGGTGGCAAAGGCTTTCAGGAGAGCTGTGCTTGAAGGATAAAAAGCAACGGCAATAGCGGTCAAATTTGACGCAGAAAGTGGTACCAGGGTGTCGTCCTGCCCCCCTTTCCATCAGGCGCAGCTCTGAGCAAGTGCTGGCAATCCAATAGGGCCAATTTCTACAAGAGATACAGGCACTTTGCTGTGTTTCCTACAAACCCCTGCCCCAGTGAGGGCGGCAGCTCCAGGCTTGTCCAGGGTGGCCAACAAGCAGAGGTGTGGCTTCCCAGAGATCCTGTGTCTCCTGCCCAGAGGGGCTCTCAGTTGTGGTCCTAGTGGCTGACTTCCGGGCCAGGGAAACCTCTGCTCCTCTCCTCCATGAGGAGGTGGGGTCTGAAACTCAGGCCTGAAGCGTACGTGCCAGGAGTCAGGGCAGTGGTTACCTTGGGCGACTGCAGGTGAGTGGCCATGGAAGCCCCAGACTTGGGCACGTGTCCGTTAGCCACCTGCCACACCACCTTTAAAGTGGGGTTTTTCTGCTCTGCACTATGGGCCCTGAAAGGCTGCTGACACCACGGGTGTGAGGGACCCCTAGGGGCCAGGAAGCACTGCCCAGGCCCAGCGTCCACCATCAGCAGGCTTGTCACAGAGATGGTGAGTGGAGCAAAGGGTGAAACTGGGACCAGCAGCAGCAGCCCCAGCTCACTGAACATGAACAGCCAGAAATTTGGGGAGAGGAGGGGCCCAGGTAAGAGACAGACAAGCTGTACCAGCCATGGAGTATGTGGCTACACTGCGGTGTTTCAAGCGCCACTGTTCCTAGCCAGGCATGGTGGTGCACGCCTGTAATCCCATCACTCAGAAGGCCGAGGCAAGAGGATCACCTTGAGTTCAAGGCCAGCCTGGATTTGCATATCAAGACCCTATCTTAAAAACAAAGCAAAACAAAGTGCTGCTGCCCTGAAGGCCAGCCACAGCCCCTTCCAGCCCAGGAAAAGCCAGTCGAGGAGGAGGAGCCACAGCTGGGCATAAGGCCTAGAAGCCAACAGCAGGGAGCACTGGAGGTGGGGCCAGACTCAGGGGTCGTCTGTTACTAATCCCCTTATCTATCTCAACTTTTAACTGTAGAGGGACAAAGATGAAGCACCCCAAACCAAAGCACAGGTGTGCCTGGTCCCTCAGATCTGGGGCCCTCAGGCCAGCCAAGGGGCAGCTGGGGGTGTTGAGATAGTCACAGGCAGACAGGGACAGAGGTGTCCTACCAGGGATCACTGTGGTCTGCGGGGCGGGGGGGCTGGACAAACCTTCCTCAAGCCCTCAAGAGCAGCCATTCCTGGGCTGGCCTTCAGGAGCTCGAGTGTGGGTGCCGCTGTCATGTGCACTGCCTTGGCAAGGTGGTCCTGGGCACAGCTCCTGGCCTTCTCTGGCTTCCCTCACTGCCAGGGGGCTGTAGGGCTTGTCTCTGCCCAGCCTTAGAGTCTGCTGCAGCAGGTGTGTGGGTGCAGCAGGTGTGTGAGGAGGGTGTGGGGAGTGGGCAGCCTGGTGTCTCCAGTGTGGGCAGGGGGGAGGGACATTTGTCCCAGAAAGCAGGTGGCAGGCAGGCAGGGAGGACAGCCCAGCCAGAGCTCTGGCCAGTTTTACTGATTTGTTGAGTAAACTTTTCTTTCTTTTTTTCTTTTTGTATTTTAGGACAGGGTCTACAGGGTCTCACTAGTAGATTGGACTCATAGTGAACCTTCTGTTACAGCTTCCCAAGTGCTGGGATTACAGGCATGTGCCACACACCCAGTCTCATTGCGCCCAATGGCAGGCCTGGAATCAAACTCCCGGCCCCTGCATCTGCCTAAGCAGGTGCTTTAATCCACTGAGCTATCTGGCTAGCCCTGCTGAATGAACTTGATGGAGCGGCTTAACTGCTTTGTGGCATCCTTAGCATCTAACTGCCAAAACAGTTTTTATGTTAATTTTTTTTTTTTCTTTGGCAGAACCCGGGATTGAACTCAGACCCTTGCGCTTGCCAGGGAAGCACTGATTCTACTGAGCCATCTCCCCGGCCAAAACCGTTTTTAAAAGGCCAGCACATGTTGAGAAGCAGGCCTGTGACCCAGGAAGCCATGTTTCCACTGACTTCGATGGGGAGGGCCCTGGATGTGCTAAGCGTGGGTGCTCCATGGGTGTCCATGCACGCCCCAGCACACAGGACTCTCCTCACCCCACGTGTGCTGTGGCTTTAAGACAAGCTCACGGCTTCCCCATGCTGCTCTTGCCTGTGTGAAAGCATAGGTGTTTTTTGAGTATTGTGCACAAAAATGGTGTGTGTCTTGTCCTGGGCACCAACACCTGGGGGACAGTGAGTTTCTGGGGGAGAAGCCCCGGGCAGGAAGGAAACAGCCACTCACACTCCACTCGCTTCTCCAGCACTGCCAGGTGGTTGGCGACGTCCGCTTTCAGCTCGTTGATTTTAAATGCTCTGGGAAGAAAAGGTAGGCGAGATGAAGCATGACCAAAAAAGTCCTCCACGCTAACCGTGGCCCTGCCACGGTGCATGGGTCCAGGCTACGAGTGAGATTCCTCTGGTGTCTGAGGACCACGGGCTGCTTTTTTTTTTTTTTTTTCTTTTAATATATCTGGTTGTTGCATGGTCTCACTACAAAGCTCAGACTCAGTGACCCTCCTGCTTTCGGCTTCCCCAGGGCTGGGATCACAGGCGTGTGCTACTATGCCTGAACTCTGTGGCTGGCTCAGCCTGCCCTGTAGATGGGGCTGGCGCAGCATGTGGTGCCAGGGATCGAACCATGGTCCCTGTACTTGCCTAGGCTTGTCTAAGCAGGCACTTTAGTCTGCTGAGCTGTCTCTCTGGCCCCTAAAGGGCTGCTTTTAAGGAAGCCAGAATGTCTGTGGGGTTAGCACGGTGACTTCCCCTAAGCTGGGCGGTGAACACAAGGTCAAGGAGGACGTGAAGTCCTTCGTGCCCCAAGCTGGCATATGGCACAGCCTCCACAGCCTGCCCCACAGGGCAGACACTTCAGCAGACTCATGAGTTCAAGCCATTCAACTCAACCGGTTATTCATGGACTTTTCCCCCTTTATGGGGGATTGATCCCAGGGCCTCTGCACTAAACTACTATCAACACCATCAGCACTTTTTACTTTATTTTTCTGAGACAGGGTTGTGCTAACTTGTTAGGTTAATGGGCTTGAACTTGAGATTCTCCTGCCTCAGCCTCCCAGAGTTTGGGGACCATAGGTGTGTGCTGCTATGTCTGGCTTGGGCTTTAGCAAATACCATCCAGTTACTCTTTCCTTTTAATCACCCAGGGCAGTAAATGCCAAAGGGAAGTCAGTCTGAGAGACTGAAAATACTAACTTACAGAGGTGGGGGGGGGGGGCGGGCAGACTTGGAGCAGAAAGGATCAAGTTCCTTTCAAAACGGTGCCAACATCCGTAGACTGTCCTGAGCCCCATAAGAGCCCATCAGGAAAATGCTCACCATCAGAAGTCATATCCCAAGAGTGGGTGCTGACCTAGCCTTGGGGCAAGGTCAGTGTTTCCTGGGGCATTTCAGTGCCCAGTGGCTTGGGGAGCTCCCACGGGCAGAGGCCAGCCTGGAACCAGGGCCCTCCTGTAGTGTGAGAGGGACAGTGTGGACCGAGGGGACTCCGTACCTGGAGAACTGCTCTGCCACCTGGGCCAGGACACTCTGGATTAATTCTTCTCTCTCTGTAACCAAAGAAGACAATTAGATGGAGGTGATCCAGGGGCTGGCGGGAGTGACCCTGGGCTGCAGGGTCCCACAGGGGATGCCCGGCCTGGCCTGGTGCTCTTGCTGCCCTCCTTGGCCCCACCTGCTCACAGTGGGCCTGGGCAGCAACTATGAACAGCAGGCAGGACTGGCTTTGGGACAGGAGGAGCCTCGCATGGGGCACAGGCGCATTATGGAGACGGGGAGAATTGCCGGCCTGCCCAGTGCAGAACTCAGTGTCCTCAGAGCAGGCCTGGAGGAAGTGCCACCGCCTGTAAACAGGCACAGCCAGCTGCCCAGGCCTTGCCTGCTTCCTGTTTCCTGGCCTGGCGGGCAAGGACACTGGTGAAGAGCAGCCTTGGCCCATCCCTCCCACCAACACTGGCACTCTCGGTTCGGCTCTGAGGACATCTGCAGCTTCACCGATGCCTGCAGCCTTCTACCGCTCACCTGATGTCTGTCTGCCACAAAGGAAATACAGGACCAGACCAAACCTGTCACAAGCTAAAAACGGGTGGGGTGTGCAGCTCAGTCAGAGAGCACTTGCTCAGCATGTACAAGGCCCCGGGTTCAGTCCCCAGTGAAGTGAAACAACGGAAAGGATTTATACTCACAGCCTGGAGTGGTGGCCCACACCTGTGATCCCAGCGCTCAGGAGGCTGGGGCAGGAGGATGGCCATGAGTTCAAGGCCAGTCTGGATTACATAGTGAGTACTAGGCCAGCCTGCACTACATAGCAGGACTTTGTCCTGACAAACCAACCAAACCAACTAAGCAACAACAAAACAAAAACTCCCCAAAGCTAGAGACACGCATGTCCTCTGGCCTGGCATCTTAGTTCTGGGAATCAGGCTGTGTGCAGACGACAGATGTTGGCCACAATATTATTAACATAGCAAAAAGCTTAAAAGTCAGTAGGCCCATCGAACAGGGACTTTTCAAGTAAATGATGATGAATCTGCCTTGTGGAATCATATTCTATTAGGAATAACAGTCTTGGAGAATGTTTACATTTATTATTAGAGTTAAAAAAATTTAAAACTGGTGACAGAACATGATTCCCTTTTTGAAAACATCTTCGGAGGGCACACTCCAAAATAATAATGGCAGCCATTTTTCAGCGATAGGAATATATAGTCATTGTATTTTCTTAATTTTGCTGCTTCTACACTTTCTGCAGTGAATACTTATTGGGGTTTTTCTCTTCTCTCCTACCTGCCCACTTCTCTCCTTTTCACTGTAGTACTAGAGGCTGAACCCAGGGCCCTCACACTGAGCTCCATCACTGGCCTATTTTTAAATTATTTGTAAAAACTTCAAGACAAGAGGAAAAGGGAGGGGAAGGGGAGGTAAAATGAATAAAGCTGCTTTATGTAAGTTCATTGACTGCCTGTGATGAAATCAGTCATTACGGGCTGTGAACATGCGCTAATACAAATAAAAATTTAGAAAAACAGCTCCCATACCAAAAAAAAAAAAAAAAAAAAAAAAAAAGAAGAGAAAAGAAAAGAAAAAAGAAAAAAAGTAAAATGTTTACACAGGGTCTCACTAAGTTGCTAACTTGTCCAGGCTGAGCTTAGACTCATGATTCTCCTGCCTTAGCCTTCCAGAGTGCTGGGACTGTAGGTGCGTGCTACCCATACCTGGCTGAATAGATACCAGTTTCATACAAAAGAATAAAGTGAATCAAGCTACATTCCACTCTCAGGCCCTCATTGCTTTCCTGTCTACACAAACCCATTTGGCTGGCCTTGGCTGGTGTTGGCTGTGGCCGAGGGGGTCATTCATCTTGCTGTGGAGGTAGAGGTGGCGCAGTCTCTCTTTACCCACCTCCCAGCTCCATCTAGAGTCGCCCAGGTCCACTTCCTCCTGGCACCAGTCCCGTGGAACAGGTGGACACAGGTGCCTGACTCACATGGGTGACCTGGCTGCCCTGCACAGGCTGTCCTGACCCAGTCCACACTGACCTGTGCCACAGTGCCACACCCAACCCTGTGCCATCTCCTGGAACTCACGCGTGCCCCCATTAAAGTTAGCAATTAAGACTGCTCACAGTACCCTGCACCTGGCAAAGGTCCTCCTCCCTGTGCACAGACGTCCTGTGCGGGTAGGGCATCTGGTCTACCCTGGGCCTATGAACAAGTTTTCTGTGGCACTCTCTAATCTTACAGCTCTAAATTCCAGTGTTGCCAGAGAAGTGGGTGCCAAGACAACTGAAGGCACCTCAGTACCCACTTTCTATGATTTGACAAGAAGAGAATGAGCCAGGTGTGGTAGTGCATACCTGTGATCCCAGCACTCAGGAAGTTGAGGCAGGAGGACCTCTGTGAGTTTAAGGCCAACCTGGGCTACAAAGGGAATCTCATAAAACAGAACAAAACAAAACAGAAGGGGGAGGGAAGAAAGACATTTTGTTTGATTTCTTGAAGCTTCGAGGGTGACAGTACTAGCCAGGAACTTTGTACAGGGCCCTAGGCTGGGCAGCCACGGGTGTAAGGAGCTAAGTTTCAGGCAGCAGGGGGCTGGGCCAGCCTGGGCAAGGATCACAGGAGGTTTCTGACCACCTGGATGAGCTCTTTAGATCACTTATCATGAAATCATTGAAGAAGCAGCAAGTCCCATAAACGTGAAGGTTAATGATCTTGAGATCATTAATTTAGAAGCCACATATGGACTAGGTGTCAGCAGCAGAGTGTGCATTCTTTCATGGGGTCTACAGAGCAGGTAAAAGAAAGACTGTCTCCCGGCCTTACAGTGACCAGCAGCACACTGTGGAAAGCCCAGGCACCCAGAGTACAACCTCAGAGCACCCAAGAGAAATCACAGTCCTGGCGGTGTGCTGCTGGATGACGCATGGGTCACGGAAGACATCTCAAGGAGGGAAAAAATGGAAAATGACATTTCGAAGAAGTCTGAGGCCAGCAGAGGGATGGAGGATGAACAACTCCTGGGCCTGTAATGTTATTCAAAGCACTGTGGTTGGAAGCTTCTGAGACAATCAGGGACATCAGAACAGCTTGGCTAACATCGGTGACCCTTTGTCAGCCTATGTGCCCAATGGGAGACTGAAAATCAAATGAAGTGTGACCTTCGTTTTGTAAAACTGGTCATATTCTTCTGGGCACATCATGGACATCCTGGTGCCACAAGGTTAGCCCTAACTCTCCCGCCTGTCTTGCCCCTAGTTGGGAGACAAGGACATCTGATTAGAGTTTTTACAACATCCGGTTCCAGAGCCCCACATGGTCAGCACTGAGAACCCCCCAGCCACTGCCGACCGAGAATGACCTGGATGCCAGAAAAAGGAAGCCTGTGCCACAAACACTAGCCCGGAGAGGGCCACCTATGGGACCAAATGTCTGCTCCTTCAGCAGTGAGGCTCCCTGCAGAGCTACAAACCAGGACTGAGAAAATCGCCAGCCAGACCCTGGCCTGCATCAGCCTTGAGGCAGGATCAAAAAATATGGGGAAGGTTTAAGTGAAAGTGTGTTACAGTGAAAGACGCAGCCACGAATCCCCTCAGAATCCGCCCCTCCCTTTGAACACACTTCCCACCCTTCTGGCCACTTTCTGCAGCACCTCTGCAGTCCTCTTGCCTGAGTGTCTTTATGAGGTGTGGTCAAAAATATGGTGAATACTTCTTCCCCGTGTCACCCAAGGGAAAGGCAGCTTGTAACAACAGAACACTGGGTCCTCATCTACCTTGCTCACCTGATCGGGTGCCATGTGACTTTTGGCTCTTCCCCAAAGTCAAAATGACCACGAGAGGGAAATGTTTTGTATCAATTGAGAACATCAAGGCAGCCAGGACAGTGAAGATAAAGACACTCAAGAAAAAGGACTCCAGAGCTGCTGCAGAAAATGGCAAGGATGATGGGATCATTCACCACATTTTGATCACACCTTGACCTCCTCCAAGGCTGGCCCTGCTTCTGTGGCAGCCCAGACTGAAGTCCAGCATCCACCTGGAGTCCCCTCCCTTGCTGCTAACTTTCCTTCTTAGGGAATTGCTGCAGTCTTCGTGGAAATCATACTTACAGGCAGAGAGATGAAAGTCTGAGTTTCTAGGAAAACATGTACATGATGCGCAATTGTCCTAAGGTGGAAAGAGGCTAGCCGCTCATTCAGAGTGGTGGAGACATGAGTTGAGGTCCACCCAGGCCCTGGACACACTCAGCCACACACTGCCATGTGCAGCTGCTACAGAGCAGCCAGAGCGGTGGCCAAGGATTATGCCAAGTAAAGAAGGTGCCCCAGGCACCCACCAGGGGCTGCACGCACAGGGAGCCCCTGGAAAGACAGAAGTAGAAGTGCAGAAGAGAGAGGTAGCAGCTGGGGGCTGCGGCTGGGGCTGGGGAAGGACATGAGTGGCACAAAGTCAGGAGGGACCCTGTGTCACTGTACTGGGACCCGGTGCAGATGACCTGGTTGGCTGTACTTTTGCTCTTACAGCTCCATGGGAACCTATAGCTAATAAAAAAGTTATAAAGAGTTTGCCCTGGACATTTTCTGTTTGTTTTCTGAGACAGGTTCCTGTTCAGGCCAGGCCAGCCCTGAACTCACTAGGTGGCCAGGGTGGCCTGGAACTCACAGCGATTCTCCTGCCTCAGCCTCTTGAGTACTGGGATCACAGGCATGCACCAACATGCACAGCTGCCTCTGGACTTTTGAGGGCACTCTTTGAGTTTATAGCATTTTTATGCCTGTACTTAATTCCCAGCCTGAGCTGCGATCCTACTTTGTGCCTCTGCTTGTCCCAGCCCAAGGCCATGGGGGTAGATACCTATTTTCTGGTCTGGTTGTAGCAACCCTTGGCTCACGTCAGACCCCTGTGCCAGTAGATCTGTTGTTCTTGGAAAGGACTCAGAAGCCAAATTGGTGGGATACCCCCACCCCACCGCTGGACCTTGGCTCAGGCTGCTGCATTTCGGTAAGTGTGCAACTTACCCAAGGACTCACTGGACTGGCTCTTTACAGA